GAATCTGTCTTAAGTATGTGCTCATGCGAAGATGAGAACCCAATTAGTTCCACTACGAATTGTCGCTCATTCACGAATGTCAGGCATCATACATAAGACAGATGTCCGAGCTTCGGAACGTGGCCAATTGCACTGATGTCTATGGGTAAGGTAAAAGAGTTTCAAGTGTAATAACTGATTATGCTTTTCAGCGTCATCCACAAATTCACCAATCAAATGATTCAAATCATGCCTTTGATTGAACTTGTGGACCTACCAACTCATTAACCTAAATGAAAATTTACATTGCGAAAAATATTCACAATGGGTACTTGTGCATAATAATAAAAAATATGAACCATGATCATGAAATGTAAACAAAATCCATCATTAATTATGGTCTTTATGGGTATGGTTGCATACAGCTCCAACAAAAAGATGGTGGGATGAGAATGCAAGTTACATGGACTACAACTAGTTTAAGCCTGCTAAACATGCTGCAAATCATATAACTAAATTCTTTCAGAAGTTATTTAATTGATAAGCACCAGGACAAATACCTCTGTTATCAACCTTAGTTGATGAACATAGTCTTTTCCTGGGAACAAAGGTTCCCTGGTCCCAATTTCACCAAGAATACAGCCTACTGACCAAACGTCGATAGCAGCAGTGTATTCCGAACAATTTAGGAGCAGTTCTGGTGCACGGTACCAACGAGTGACAACATACTCTGTCATGAAATCTGTTTCAGAAGTCGTCCGTGCCAATCCAAAGTCTCCTATCTTAAGGTCACAATTTGCATTCAGAAGCAAATTACTGGGTTTTAGGTCGCGATGCAACACATTTGCCGAATGTACATACTTTAGCCCTCGCAGCAACTGATATAGGAAATACTGCAAGAACATTTCGCAGAACAAAATTAGATCAAGGCTGTAATTGGGGATTAGAAAACATGAAAGAGTTTAGTAGTTAACTTCATAAAGTAATATGACATTGTAGTTAACGTCATGAAGTAACATGACAATGAACTACCATAGAAGACGCTCATTCAATGGGGTCTATGAACACATGTAAGTGTCAGAAGAAACATTGTTAAGTGAAGAATCCATCTAGAGATGATAAACACAGTATCATGAACGAGCACACACAGACGCACACGCGGGGAGCTCAGATTCTTATCATAAGCTAGCCCAACATGCTACTCTAAACGATGATCGGCACAACCCATCGTGACTTGCACTCATCATGATAGATATATATATATATATATATATAGAAAAATTATATTTTTTTCGATACATGACCTGAGCCTATATCAAGGAGGGCGCATTAGGTAGTGTCAAATCTAAAATGAATCCTAAATAATCCATGAAATCAAAGAGAAAATTCTATAAGGTAGTTAATAAAACCAGAAACCTTTTACGGATAAGAATGTTTGGCAATTAAGCAGCAAGTTCAAAAGTATAGTATAAATAGACTAAATTAGCTTACTCTAATTCATGTTTTAAAGATCAAACCTGGCAATGATCATCAGTTAGGGGTTGATTAGACCGTATAATTTGGTGAAGATCAGTGTCCATTAACTCGTAGACGATGTATACATCATTGAAGGTTTCCTTCTGTGGAGGGCGCATTATGTCCTTGATGGCAATGACCTGTCATAAAAGAATAGCATAGTTTCAGGATGATGCGAATAAAAGCAATAAAATAAAACTTAAGTATAAGATCCCGCTGTTGACAGGAAAAAAAACAAAAACTTATGTGGATCATCATAATCAAGTACATCGGGAAGAAAGTGTAATTGATTCAATTTTGGATCTAGTACCTTCGGTGGAAAGAAGAGTAAAACACCTTGAACCATTCAAAATTTGTTTATCATTCAAACAAAAGAATAAGACTGAAGTGAAAAAAAAAATCAGAAAACTTATTAGAAATTTTATATAACATTCTATATGTCTTACATTTATCTGGAACTACATTAAATGCCACTTACTGCAGAGGAAAATAACATAATAAGCATTTAAATATTGATTAGCATACATTTACTGGAGTTTTGTCTAAATGTTTCTTTTCTTCCCTATCAATATTAAACCCAAGGGAACAATCTAGGCGTCTTAGGCACCCACCTGATCTTCATGCTTCAATCCTTCAGCTGTCTCACATATTTTCAGACATTTAGGCATAAAAGTCAGTTAAGTTCCACGGAACAAAAGTGGACATCCTATTCATGATTTTACATTTTCTGAAAAGGATGGTGTGGATTGCAACTTGCAAATATAATGATTAGGAGATAAATATAAGATGCTGAATACTAGAAGGGCTCGAACATAAAGCATGAGAAGAGAACAATAAAGATGACTTAGGTAGACAGCATTCTGGTACAAGTATGATCACAAGAAAATTTTTGCAGAAGAAGCGAGGCCTTCATATAAACGAACATCATACAGAATATTACTAGTCAAGGAAGACTGAGCACAGGCTAGCACTGAACAAAGAAAAATGATTCGGTTCTTATCAATTGTGTTCATTTAAGCGGATCGAAGGGCTATGGTGACGTCAAATGCACATAATAGGACGGTAAAAGGTTGAGATCACTGCCACAAAAAAAAGAAGAAAAAAAAAAGAAGCAATCTCACATTTTCATGATCCATGTGACGGAGCAGCTTAATTTCTCTTAAAGTTCTCTTGGCATCAATTCGATTATCAAACGCATTGCCGATCTTCTTAATAGCAACCTCCCGACGAGTCTGCGAATTCAGAGCGGCGCTGCACAGAAGAAGAAGAAGGAGAGGGATTCAGTCTCCATACTTTTTTAGTTACTGGAAGGTAAACAAACAGAAGTGGCTTCGAATAATAAGGAAAACAGTAAATTGACAGTACTAATAATAATAATAATAATAATAAAAAGCCCCCTCCCCCCAGCTATAGGCTCCTTCTGGCTCTATAATATTTGTGGACCAGACAGAGTTGAGGCCCGGCTCACCAAACAATGCCGGAGGCTCCTCTGCCGACGGGGCGGATGGGGGGGACGTATTTGGTCGAGACCTCGAAGAGATTCCCGCTAGGACGTGTACTGCGATGTAGCCGCCCGCCCCATGAGTCAGGACCCCCTTTATCTGGTGCCCCTCGCCCGAACCCGATACGCAGTCCATCATCACGCTTCTCCGCTGATGACCACCTTCCGCGATAGCAGTAACAACAACAATAATAGAGGGATAAGGGGGAGGGATCCAGAGAGGTCGAGGTTGGATTTAATGTGAGTGAGAGGGAGAGAGAGAGAGAGAGAGAGAGAGAAAAAAAAGGAAGGGTTTTGGGGCTGTGGGCACCAAATTAAACCCGTGAATTGAGAGGGGTTTGGGGGCTCCCTTTTCTCCTTTTTTCCCCCCACCTCCCTCTTTTCTTGCTTTTTGCTTTGGGAGCTGATCGGTGATCTCTTTCCTCTTTTTACCGCTGCCTTCTCAGGGCTCACGCTCTTTACTCTGTGAGAGGATGCCCGCCCTTTCTTCACCTCCCGAAAACGAAGGGCGAGGACACCGAATTGGGCCGCGTGGACGGGCTCCTCTCTCTCTCTCTCTACTCCCTCTCTCTCTCTGTGTCAATTCTTGGTGGGGGCGTTTGGACTTTTCGGTCAGGGAGCCACGTAGTGGGCCTCCAGATTGATTTTCAAACAATAATATATAAAACCGTACTAATTTGTTGTCAGTGAACTAGCTGCCACGGCGACAACATACGTGGGACTTGGCGGTACTTCGTCCGGTGGAAAATTCCTGTGCATACCGCACAAGTTGCTGATTGCAGCCGGGCCTCGCGCTATCTAATAAGTAAGCACTCTTTGATAGCCCAAGACCACGCTGCACTTAACATAAGAACGATGTTGCGTCTTGAGACCAGGCTGCTGTCTCAATGGATTGTCGGTGGAACGAGGCTGGAGTAAATAAAGTCAGATAGCGCTCCTCTCATTTTCATGAGCTTGGTTCACTATCTCCGTCTTACGTCCACACACTTGCATAATATATTATGAATATAAAAAAGTAGGTGACCAGCCAAATTCACAGAACATCCCCAGCCAATCCAGCACTAGTTTCAATTTACAGCAGACTGAGACCTCCGCATTAGCATTCAGATGCTTATGTTCTTGCAAAAACACTGCTCAACCATGTAAATCAAAAAGAGAACAGAAGCCAAACTAACTGCAACAGACAACGGCAAGGAGGATGAAAATGATGGTGTTATGTTTCTCTATCTTCTTCCTTTTGACTTGGATTCAAAGTGGATGGCCTTCTTCTTCTTCTTTCGGATCAAAACAGTGGGGCCTCCACTGCCCTCCCTAAACGGCATGCCAAGGAGGGCGAGCAGCCTCTGGGCCTCTTTATCGGTTCTCGCTGTGGTAGTGATGCAGACATCCATCCCGTTTTGCTTGCCGAGGGCTTCATATCTGATCTCCGGAAACACACTTTGGTCCCTCATGCCGATACTGTAGTTCCCGTGCCCATCAAAACTGTTTGGGTTCACTCCTTGGAAATCCCTGGTCCTGGGGAAGGCCAAGTTGACTAGACGGTCAAGGAATGAGTACATCACCTGCAAATGGGATGACGGGACCACAAAGAATATCAAATATGAAAACGTAAGAAGAAACTGGAAATAGATTCATGATCGAGTTATTGCAGGCTAAAGGTGCATATTTACAGGATGCAAACGTAGTGCCCAAGTAGTCCAAGGAACTGGATGCGTTTCCAACCTTAGTTTTTAGCCTATATACACCTAGTAGAAAAGGACAACTACAGGAAATTAGTGTACCTACCCCATTAGGAAAATGGAACAACGGTGAATATATTTCCTTGTTCAGTATATATTTTAGGCTAAATACGCGAAACACCCTGTTAACTTTGAACAATCATCAGATAACTCACATAACTTTCAAAGTATTATAAAACGCCCCCTTAAGTTTAGGGTTTATCAGAAAATCCTTTTAACTTCAAGATTTTATGAAGGAAACCTCTAAGCAACATTAAACGCAATTTCTAAATGGGCGGGTAAAATACGGAGGGGGATATTTTGCTAATGAAAATTGGGGTTCATGCTCTTAAGGGATTTTTTTTGGAAAAACCTTAAGGGAGTTTCTGACAACCCCTAAACCTAAGGGCATGGGTATTATCCAAAAGAGGACCTAATGTAGGGCAATAGGGGCAATTGTCCCCACTGACCACTCCTAATATTTATATTTACTATTAGGTCCATATTTGAATTTAGTACTCTTTAGTTAAAGTAATAATTAGTAAGTCACTATATAAAAGAAATTATAAGTCTAAAAAAATTAAGATTATAAAAAAATAATATTAGAGAGGATAATGTTGATTTCGTCTTAACTCTGGGTTACTAGTGTTACACTAAGTATTATGTTTTAGTCTAAACATTTTGCAATTAACTATGACATACTGCTTTTGTCTCATATTAAAATTCAAGGAATAAGCAATCCAAAGGAAAACTAAAAAACATTCATCATTTTTCTTTCTTTCTATGACATGTTTATAATTTGTATACATTCTTAAACATAAGCTTCATCCAAGTAAGAAAATTTCGTCAATATAGGTACATGCATGAAAACAGTACAAAATGTTAATTTAATGGAACCAGAAGTGGTAATAAGTGAAATTTTAGCTACTTGCATGATCCTAATTATATGTAATTCTTAGTCTTATGTGCTAACTAGTTAATTTAAAATTCAAACTTATGTGATTTCTTCACATAATTGCAAAGAATTTTGATAAGATACTTATATTCAATTTTGATAAGATACTTCTATTGACTTTATTTTGTTTTGTGTGTCCATGTGTGTGTACTAGTTATACATGTAGACTTATAATCTTGTCATCAGTGACTAACTTTTCTGGATCCGCCCTTGGGTTTATCTGATAATAGTCCAAATGGGTGTTTTCTGATATTCAGCCATGTTTTATCTGAATAGACAATGGAGTTAGACTATAATGACCCTAGATTTGAATAAGGCTAAAATATCAATTTGGTCCTTGTACACTAGGCCTTCACTTCCAAATTGGTCCTCCCACTTTACTTTTTGATCAACCTAGTTCTCGTACTCCTTATTAGATGTTAATTTAGTCATATGTTAACTTTCCGTTTAAAATTTCGTTAAATAAACATTAGGACATTTCTACCATAAACTCATCTTTCCTCAAAACTAAGAGAACTAGGATTCAATTGAGATAAAATACTCTCTATTTTCTTCATCACTGTTGAGCACACCCTAAAGTCCCACCTCGCCAATTATGTCATGGACAACCACACTGAGGACATGCTCTTAAATTTCCTTGGTGGCTGGTCTTGTAAAATTTTACTTTGAAGAACAAGCTAATAGGACTTTGACCTCCTTGGTCACCTAGGTTACTCGGACATGACATTTTGGGTGCTCTACCCATGTCCGACATGAGTTGGACATGGATTCTCCGCGGACCCACCAAAAACACACGTAGTTCAAAGCAAAACTCGACTTCCCATTACTTATACTCTAAACTGGTTTCTTTGGTAACATCGAGTTCAAAACCAATCGGTTTTTGAACCCAAAAACCGACACTCATTGCTTAAATATTTGAAAAATACCCACACGCAATCAAAACTAAACTTTATTGTTAAACTTTATTCTTAGTTTGATTGAACTTAATTATTAATTATTATAGATAATTCAAAGAAATATCCAAATGTTATAGATATTTTAATTCAATATTTGATCTAATGTAAATCACAGACACATACACAAAATATTGACAAATTTTAGAAAGGAATCAACTAGACATACATTATCATCCTAAACCACTTCTCATGAAAAATCAGAAGAAACTATAACTTATAGAGACTTCATTTTCTTACCATGATCATCAATGTATACTCATACGTAGTGACGAAGCCACATAGAGCAAAGTGGGGGCAAGTGCGCTTACTAAAATTAGGGCATGTTTGGTTGATTTCCGAGAAATCTAACTCTGGAAAATAACCCATGAGAAATAGGTTGTGAGACCTATTTTCTTTTTTCAACCCCATTGAGAAATGGGTTTCCCCTTTTTGGGACCGATGAACTGGTTATATTTCTAGAGATAGGTCTCACATGTATTTTTTTTCTTATTTTCTTCCTCAACTAAACAAAAGAAAAGAAATGATTATGGAAAATCGATTTCCCACTTTTTATTGGTTTCTTTGCCAACTAAACAGGTCCTTATCTTATTACCGAGACTTAATTTGAAAACTGCCTTAATATTATCTTTGATGTTAGATTTTTTGATACGTACACTTAATATTGCCCCCATATTTAGTTGTTCAACCCACTACTCCATGGGTCTTGACTCCACCATTGCTCATATGCTAATATGTATGTGAATTTGATGACATATAACCTAAAAAAAAACTTTAGTTTGTTTTATAATGTGGGTAGATTCATTTTCAAAAGCTAGTAACATACTTCCTCAATTTTAACCATTTTACGTAATTGTTCAACTTGCAACTTGTTAAAGTAGCTAAGACAAAAATTATCCTTTTACAGCCTAGACTATTCAAAATTTTATGTTTTAGTAACTACTAATTTCCTGACATTAACTTAATGAACTTAGTTTCTTGAACATCTAGCATGTGCAATTCTTAAACATCACACTTCTAACATCTTGAGAATTTTGAATTCTTCTGCCTTCGTCGTACTCACGCTCGCCACTAAGTAGAGGTGTGTCCTCGTTGAACACCCTTGCAAACATTGTCGAAGGCGAAGCGCCCAAGGACTTCTTGCATGTCAAAGTGGAGCTCTTCAAGTAGTAACGAAGGACGGAAAGGGGAGAAGCAATGAAGGACCTTGAATTAGATGTTATTGTTGAACCCGAGGTTGGCCATGGGTTGCTGAAGTTCTATGATTCACGTTAGCTGTCAAGGAGGTCGAAGAGCATATTGTTGCTACCCGTAGACATAGGAGTGGAAGCGGCCTTGAGGGTGCGCTTGATAATGATGGATTAAATTTCGTTATCTAGTGAATGTTGTATATTTGACAAGAAATAAATTCATTCATTGCTGTAGAAAAGAGTACTCACCTTAATAAAATTATAGTCCTTTTAATGTAAGATGAGTTTAGGACTAAGTTTACATCTAATAAAAGTACAGCGACTAAGTTGAAAAATAAAGCGAAGAGACCAATTATAGAATGAAGCCCTAGTATAGGGATAAATTTAGTTTTTTAACCTTACAATAAAAACAACATATCATGCAATATTTTTCTTTTTTTCTTCTAGGTAAAATGTCTTACAAGCTTAAACCACGAGAGTGGGGGAGTACACCTTAGAGAAGCTCATGAACGGGAAATAAAATTTAAAACTTCCCAAAGGAATTAATTGGGCATCCTACTGTGCACATGGGTTTTATCAAACCTTGTTTAATCTTCATGTTTAGGTACCAAACGCTAAAAGAAATATTTATCTTTCTCAACTCACTTAACCTGCAAAAGAATATCTTTCTCAACTCCCTTAAAAGAAAAGTCTAACAGTATATTGCTCTCTTCACAAACACTATCTAACTTATCTCCTTACTTCGTTATAGTTTCACGACTATACAATACATGTTTAACCAAGGTTTTAAATGTCGGTTATCGGGAATTTATCGGACGGTCAAAATTCTTATCGGATAGCGGAAATCGGGGATATATCGGGGATAAATAGTATTTATCGGAGTAATATACTAGCAAATAATAAACAAACATAAGCTTGAAAAATAATATAATGTTAGTCAAAATGGAATAATAAACTAGCAAATAATAAGATAACATCAAGAATGAAGAACCATCTACGCATCTACATAATTATTGTTTAATCATGAGATTCATAAACTAACTTACTAAGTTGATATTTAGTAGTTATGAGCCATTATCAATATCCATAAACAAACATAAGTTAATCACCAATCAACCAAGTTCCAAAAGCAATAAATAGTTCATAATTTGTAAACATGCAAAGAGCAAATCCAAAAGAAAGTAAAAGCTCCCAAATCCTACTTATCGGTCGATAAAGCCGATATTTAGAGCCTACTTATCGGTCGATAAGTACCTTTATCGTCGATAAACCTCAAAAAACGATAACCGATTAAAAATCCTACTTATCCTAGCGGAAATCTCCCAAATCCGATAACTCGACGATAATATCGGATTATCGGCCGATATTTAAAACCATGTGTTTAACTTAAGTGCGCAAACTGAATTGGTGCCAATGAATCTTTCACAAGTACCATCTAATGCTTCACCTTTCTCCTCTTAATAGTACTTGCAACTAATCACACATCAAGATGTAGAAATAGCTAATCACTCAAATCTGGCCACCCCTGCTCAAGTTGTGTCAAAGATACAAAAATTGCAAAGATACAAAAAGTATCCAAGAAGCATCTAAATTCCAAGTAAACTTAATTTGGTACATTCTAACATTAGTTACTAATGAGTAGTTCATTAGTGTGAACTTATAAATAAAATGATCAACTAGATAGTTATATGTTTTGTGATATAATAAATACAATTGTAATGTTGCAATATATCTAACTCAAATAAATAGTTACATTAACGAAAAAATGCTCAAGAAAAAATTTGAACATGGAGGGGACAACTCGGACATTGTGAGGTAAATTAAGATAAAAGGATAATGATCCTCCCAATATACACATGCTTTACCATAATCCAACAAGCAAATTTTATCTCGAATGACCCCATCAATTAAGGCTTGCACTTAATCTAGTGCATATTTCCAACGACTAAAATGGATGATATTTCCATAGAAGAAACATTTGATCTTAAGTCGCTCTTATTCTTGTAGTGGATCCCTCATGGTTTGAAGGATTGAAATTCCAAAAGTGGGTAAACACCTATGTGAGGTGCTACAATAAAGCAAGGTTGGAAGACTTCAGTCTAATTATGTGAGCTATAGGGTTGCTTATGTTGTAGCTCACCGATACATGAAACTGTTGCGCTTTTCTAAACTAACTATCGTGATTTTTACATTTCATTAGAGGAGTTTCTTAATAATCACTTTATCCAAAAGCTTAAACTAGAACATCATGGTTAAAGCCAAATCCTTACACTGTCACCATGGGATTTAGAAGGTTTATTTTGCATGTGAAAATCAATGGAATAAAATAAACATAATAGGAAAATAATGATACTAATGGTGGAACCTGAGCACGAAGACTTCGTTTTACTTCCAGTGTTATGCTGTCATTTTGCCAACCACTTCTATTCAAAAGCTTGAGCTATTACTAAATGGACTCAGGATTTTCGAAGTCGAGCATCCTAACACATTCTTCAAATTCATGTTTATACCAAATGCTATTGAGAATTTCATACTTTTCAAGAGTTTCATAATGTCAAGATTTACATATAATTTCACACAACCCATTCCATATATTTTAAAATCATAGAAAGATTGATATTTTTATGTCGGCATTGCACCAACATACTGATTTCTTCATAACAAGATTTACATGCATTAGAAGAAGTTCTTACCTTCTTCACTTGCTTCATACAAGAGTCTTCTAATCAAGGCAAAGGACCAACTTGGAGCCCAAATAATAGAGATTTGAGTTTAGGATATTAAAAACCATAGCTAAGGTCTAACAAAATATAAGGGTCTAAAATTCTGGGGTTGTTTAGGACTAACTCTAAGCCCATCCCGATCCTTCGTCCCAATTAACATCTTTATGTCCATCAGTTATAGTGGCTTAATGAGAGTTATTAGATAATGCTTGGTAAACAAATTGTGATCGTATAACCAAGGTTTTTAAGATCTAAGATACTTTCAAACAAAGAAAGAAGAAGTTTTAGTTGATCTTAATTGCAATGCATTTGGCGACATAAGGATGGTGATTTTATTCATGAAGGGAACAAGGATCATAAAGATAGTGCTTTATTTAGGGGCGGAGCTATGTAGGGGCCAAAGTAGCCTTGGAGCTGCCTTCAAAACTGAAACAAAGCTAGAGCGGTAGGATGTTGAGTCTCAGAGTTTTTTTAAAGGAATTGGATTTGAGAGTTGAAGGCTAAGGAGATAAAGGAGGAGCAACAGTGGGTAGCTTTCGTTGTTAATTGTTCTAGGAATCTGGGCTCTCTTTTTCTTTTTCTTTTTTCTTTTCTTGATAGAGAAGGGGTAACAACAAAGTTTAGCTTTTGGGGAAGCACGGGTTGGTTATTCTCATTTGCGTGACTATGATTAAATAAAGAAGGACTAACTTCACACACCCCCACCCACCCCGGATTGTGAGGGATTTTTTTTCACAAAACCCATTGAGCTTCGAACTATTCTCATCGGACCCTTGCATGTAATTTGAAAAAAAAAAATTTGAAAGAAAAAAAAATCCAAAATGTAAGGAGGGAGTGCATTACTTGTAAATGACAAACGATGAAATTTGAGATTTTTTTAGTTAAATGAGATGAACAAAGTTTAGAAAGTTATGTGAAATCACCCAAATTTTAGGGGGTTATGTGAAATTATCCTAATTCCCAAAGTTTAGAGAGCTATTTATACCTAAATGTTTAATCATTTAAAATTAAAAAATAAAGAAACTATATTCATATATATTATGTGTATCATATTTTGGATAGCAAGATATATTTTAAAATAACTTACATATTTGTAGTATTCTTTGATAAATGTTAATATGACGTTTTGACTAAGGTCGATCAATATAATTCTTTTTTTATAGCACCAACTAAAGTGATTTAAAGCTTCATTTACGAAAAAATCATAATTAGTTTTTTATGTATATTTTCAACATTTTACTTGTCTATAAGTTTACTTAAAGTATTGAGAAAAAATTTACTTGATATCCATTAGCTAAGGGGATTCATTAATGAAGAGCTTAGTTTATAAGTTACACATCAGTATAAGGAAAAGGACTATGCATTCATGATAAGGGTAAGAATAATAAAACTTATATTTGCACTTCCCATCCTATACTTCTATGTGCATCTCTCTCAATCTACTCCTTACGAAGACTTTCTTAACTCGTTACTGAGTTAACACAGGCCACCGAAAACCTAGCTATTAATCAATGTAGACAAAAAACTATTTAACCAGCTTCAATGCCTAACACAGCCAAAGTGTTATAAAACTCGGGCACAAAACCCAGGTTACATTTAATGCAAAAATAACACCAAAAAACGTGTTTTATCCACATCATCTTAAGGGTTATTTAACACTTGTTAAATAGAGTTAAATTGATAATCAGATTTGGATGTGTGGAGGTATCTTCACCGTCCAAATCAGTATTATGCTAGCCAAAATAAGTTCCTAATGGAATCCCCTGATTCCATTCGCATGAAAAACTCTAGTGATTCCCCGAACCCATCTCCAACACCTCCCTCATCTCCTTCCCCTCCACCTCCTCTCACTCCTTTAATGAAGAAACCTTTCAATTTCTTTTTCCTTTCACGCATTTTATAAAGACGAAGTCTCTCGCTGACGACAAGGCTCTTCTCATCATCTATTTCTGCCAATGATAAGGTTCCTCTTTGGTTCCTCCTTAGCTCTCATATCTCTTCTTGCCGATGAAGAAAATCCTAAGCTCATCTCCATCTCCAATGCCTCTCTAGCTTCTAAATTCTAACTCCATTTGATGAAAATGAAACCTTCTAAATCCTAATTCTTGTAATTCTACCAGTCCTCTTTCATGTTTGAAAATTTTAATGATTCTAATTATTAAAGTCATTATGAATAATTTGTATCTAGGAAACATCTAAATAACTAATAAACAAAATAACCTACGTTATGCATTATGTTTTTTGCATTTTTTCTCAACATTGCTATTAGTGTTTCATTCGATGATTGTCTAATGTAGCGATAGAACTCTAAATTCTTCAAATGAAAGATCCCCTCTTGTCTCAAAACCTAACATAAACCTGGTAACTTAATTAAGAATCTTGTAGGGGCTTGGACAAATTATACATGGTTAATGACAAATAAACAAATATTACTCTTTCATTTGGTATTTTAGTTAAGAGTTACTCAAGTTTATTTATGATTTAACTTCAAACTAATTCCGGGTTAAGGTAACAGAGAGTGACAACATACACTCCAGTGGCAGTACATGGGCATAAGAAGAAAATTGTTTAGTAGAGGAGCTTTATCTACAAGGGCAGGGGCGTAATTTAATCTTTACTTAAATGCGGTTAACTGACTGCAATTCACCAATATACAATGCTAGAAAAAGGTTCTATTTTGTTTGTGATTGAGGATTTTAACAACCAAATGTTTCTTCTGTAATCTGTATATGCATTCTTTCCAATATTGAAAAAACAGTAACAACTACTGCTTAAGTGGTTTTTAAAATGGAAGTAGCCCTAGATCAATTTGCTTTCACTGGTATTAAGCACCTTTAGAGTTTTTACTCGAAAAAAAGCCCTAAGCTGCATAAAGCGCTTGCAAGTTGCAAGTGCTTTCAAAAAACGAATAATGGCCAACTCTTTTGTACCCAACCCGAACCTAACCCCCTTTTACCCTCTTTCTCCTTTGCTTCCTGATATTCTCCTCTGTTTCGAACCCAACAAACTTAGAACCAAAATCCTACCCCTCCAACTTTGTCCATCTCCTCCATTCAGCTCATCCACCCCTCCCTCCACCTCATCCACCTCGACAAGTTCTCCCACGAAGCCTCCTCTTCTTCACCTCGTCCACCTCCTCTTTTCTGTAGAAGGTCACCCAAACTCAGTCGAAACTCTCTCGTCGCCAAAACCTACTCAACAAGTCCGCCTCTGGCAAAATCATCTCCACACGAACCCAAAAAAAAACCTAGATTCCTAAAACCATCTCCACCTCGAGCAAGCTCCACCTCCAACAAGTTTTTTTTTTATTTTTATCTATATTTAAAATTTTAATAGGATTTGGACTGCTTTTTCCTCTCACCACTTCACTCCGCTTTCCGCTGTCCACCACCTTGACTCTTTCCAACAGGCTTCTCAGTTGACGAATGTATGTACTACTGAATTAATATCTAGTGAAATTAAGATACTTTCTATGGTCAGCAAGTTATCATCTCAAAGTGACCCCGCACAAAATACCCAAAACAGGACTGCCCCATTGTTCAATGTTTACCAGCATTAATTCTTGCAGCAAGATAACACAAACAACCTCTGGCGTGACACAATCGATGCTACTTAGGTGGACTTAAACTCCAACAAAAGAATGGTGGACTTCGTAGAATCACTTACATTGCCACGAAGAGTTACTGCAATCCCCACAACAGTTCCTTCTCTGAGCTTGAAAGCCGCAATAGAATTCTTCGCCTTGGTTTTCACCGGCCTCTGCCCCGTTATCGTCGCCAAATCCCTTATCGCCGCCTCCAATCCCTTGGAGTTCTGCTCAGCATCCCCCATGCCGCAATTCACAACTATCTTCTCTATTCTCGGCACCTAATCACAAAAAGGGCAGGCATTCAAACAAACAATAATAATAATAATAATAACCCTAGCCCCAGTCTGTCGAAAACCCTAAGCGACAGGTGAATACCTCGTGAACATTCTTGTAGCTGAATTCGTTGGTGAGAATCGGGACGACCTTCTCGAGGTACACCGACTTCAGCCGGTTCGCCTTCTCCGATTCCGCGCGGTCGACGAGGACGTTCGGTGGAGAGTCGCACGGAGCAGCGGTGACCGATCCCTCACGCCGGTGCCGGACCCTCGAGTAGAAAAAGAAAAGGTGAAGGGAACTCGATTGGGGAGCGAGATCGAAGGAAGGCAGGAAAGAGATAAGGAACGAGAGGAGAACGAGGCCGCCATTGGGGCTTGGCGAGAACGAGGGGGAGAGAGCGCGAGAGAAGGGAGGGAGGATTGACTGAAGGGAGTTCCCGCAAGGGGAGAGGATTTGGTTCGTTATCCGAACTGGAGCAACCTTTTGCACTTTAGCCCCTGGGAAATGAGATCTTTCGCAGTTCTTGTGAGAACGGTTGCTTTTTTTTAACTTATGTACGTGCAATGCACGTGGTTAAAATACTATGATTAGGTATTGTTGATACTCGATACCAAACAGCCAATTAATCCAGAAGAGGATTGTTGCGGGATGGTGAAGGATGATGGAGGACTCGTTCTCTTTTCCAACTTTATGCCTAGTTTTTGAATGAGGGTCTGATGTCCGCGCTACACAGATAGGAATAGCTCATGAGAGGGGCGGGGACCGGTTCCCTCGTGATTCCTTCGACGATCAAGTTAGTTGATAAACATGAGCTTGAGTGGAGTTTAGAACTATACGTTCTTATGCTATATGCATTAGAGTTTATCATCTCTCAGATTGGAAGGACTAGAAGAGTTAGATTTTTATTTGTTTTCTTGCCTTGATTTCATGGGGGGCTCTCTTGATGGTGAACAATATCCATATATAGCGTGGATGTCCGTGGTAGATTAGTCATTTAGGCCATGCAGAATGGCGGTGACAAAGCGTGAGCTGGAAGATGAGTCATCCATCTCTTTACAAGTGTCGGCTGGCGATTAGAAGGGATGTCATGTCTGTAGGCATATAAAATTGCTTATAGGTCCCTTAGCACGACTCGGCACAAACCGACGAATCAACGAGGCGACGAGGTTGACGAATTGCACGCAAGCAACGGAATACATCCATTCGCGTGCGGAATCAAGCTAACGGTTCGGGGAGTCAATGAGTCATCCAAACAAGAGCGGACTCGGATGAATCACGACCGAATCAAGATTGGTTTCGGACTCGAACTCAGAAGTGGATTTACTGCCAAATCAGGTCAACAAATCGAGTCCAGACAAATCAACCGCACAACAGAATCACGGACAAAACGGGAACAACGACAAAACGACGGAACCCAAACACCCTGAGGGGCTCGGCCGAAACCGAGCCACCCCAGGGTGGCTCGGCATGAGCCGAGCCACCCAGGGGTGGCCGGCCACTTGTGGCCGAGCCACCTCAGCCCAGATCTGTGCCTAGGCACAGATCTGGGTGCCTATAAATAGGCCAAGGGTGGTTCATTTTTGAAGGTTGGAACTTGGAGAGCCGAAACTCTGCCGAATTGAAGATTGAGCTCAGAGTTTTGAAGACTTGGAGACTTGAAGATTCAGATCTGATCCTCGGCGGGCGTCCACGTCACAAAAGGCAGGTGTTCGAGAGGACCGGATCTCAGATCTACGCAGGCA